ATGAAACTTTATGTTGAAGTCGTAAGTGATGAATTATGTTAATTTTCGCTAGCAAACGGATTCCTCAAGCGTCCACTTATGTACAATAGGATTTAGGCGCCATCAGTGAAAATGCACACCTCTGTTATAAAATACCCACACAAATTATCAACTTATAGAAACAGTCAACTGCATCAAATACGATCGCGTCTAAATCATAGTTAGTGCATTTGATGAGAGAATACAATTAGTGACTACAATTCCATTTGTCTATTTCTGATTATCAGAAATCGAAAGATTGAGTGTTCGTGATTTCCAGTTCGGTTGATAAGCTTATGAGCATTTTATGAACTTATAAATACAATCCTATATTAAATGTCATTTCACTAATCCGTTTATAAAACTAGAAAACGTTTCGCTATATGTGAATATCATGTCAGATTATCTCAATCTCACGTATAATTTCGTGACAAATTCATGATTTACGGAATTTACAAGAACTGGTAAAAAACTCTCACACATTTCTACCAATAATGCGTTAAGTCAATTTCAACTTTGTAGTTAGTTAAAGATCATACAACTACTCACAACTAGGTAGCGGATTTGAACGCTGTTCACTACTTGAAGTGCTCAGATTACTTTCTGTAATTATTTGAAATTATAGCTCTACCTGTATAGGCTGAAATTTGTCCTGTACTTGAAGTGGTTTTCTGGTTTAGGAAAATACCATGCAAAAGTATATGTTCCGTTAGATTCCTTTTACGCATTGTGAAGTATTCACTATAATATTACATCAATGGAACTCCAGAATAAATACTAGTATAAGATAAGCGATTTGTAAACTTCTCACAATCAGGTAGTATCCTCAAAGTTTATCTGTCTGGAATCTCTCTAGCGATCATACTCATAATCTGTGTGCAACATTGATTGCAACACGAAGGTTTAACGCTCGACACTTCCACAATAGGCGACTGCTTATCTAAGAGAGTTTTGAATCAGCCCTATCAGATGATTAGCATTGTGATAAATAAACTGGAGGGTAATTGAAATCGTGATTCAATAGATAGGGAACTAATGTTTTGTTAAAACGTACTGCAAGCGAATTAGCATCACATAAAAGCACCAATACTGTAACGTTAAATGGTGGCTGGGTAGCCTCGTTTTTCACAAATACTAATGACAATACATAATCTACCAGTTATGATTAGATAAACTAATGTATGTCATTCTGCTTTTTAAGGACTTTCAAAAATAAATCTTGGGCAATGGCAATTATCACTAAACAGGTAATTAATATACTTGAAGCCTTAAATTCTTGTTTCAATTTCATAATACATACAAATAACCAATTATAAGTAAGTGTAAATTACCACAATCATAGTGGAATGAAATACAAAACTTGAGAATACTTAATTAATTTGCGTGGTTTCTTGATGTGACTAGATTGTTATAGTTACAAATGATAGGAAAATATAAACCAGCTTAAACCATAGTCATCCCATCAAGCTGATATATAACAAATAGCATACTGAAAAAAAGTGCAGAAAAAAGTAGCTTCAAGTTAACTTGTATCTACTTGCCAAGAATGCCTGATGTAGATGAATATACATTTCATATAAGTAAAACTATTTAAAAAGAATGTACCAGAGTGAGTGTACAATAGCATTGAATGATCAGCATAGAATATCCTAGTATTAACCCTTAAATATTGCTAACCTGACAATCAGTTCGACTACGTTATTTCATACATATGCCAATTTTGATGATAGGTTAGTCAACCGGAAATCACTAATCCTACAAACGATATGCAGTGAAACAGCTAGTCGGCTATAAAAAAATCATGATCCTTATATTTACGTGCCTGAATTAAGTGATCATAATAAGAGTGTTGATTAATTCATTTAATTGAGATAAGATTCAGACTATGGATAATACTGGCTCTTATTTTGATCCAGTTTAAAAGTACAAGGAATCAAGATGATTGTCGTTTCTTAAAAGAAAAAAACTAAGAACATCAAAGCCTTATTTGTAAACAATGCAATATTGAAAACCCCAATCGATATAACTAATATTAAGGTAAGGATGTTTGAAAGAAGCAAACTGGTGAACTATAAACATAGGAGCAGCTGAGAGCGGATGACTTTGCATTCATGTAACTACTGTAATAAATGACAAAGATTTGCATTTACACACCATAGCAATAACTATGGTTTGAGGCCTATTTTTCTCGTCCTAATATTTTTCCCTTTCACAGAGTGGACAGTCGGGAAGTGACATCCGCCTTCATACCCGTAACAGCACACGAGACCAAATAAGTCACCCTAATATTTTTATTTTTGTTAGAAGAGCATGTCTAAGAAAAATCCCATAAAAGTAACAACACAACCTGAATTCATACGCTCATTTTTATTTGATGGATGCAGCTTTCCTTTATGAAATACGCTTATGCAGTCGAGCGTTCGTAGCCTTACATTATTATGGAACTTCTCACATAAACGAAAACAGTGGATGAGCGTCCGAAGGTGAAATCAGTTTAACAGATATATACTTAGGAAGCCCTAAATGTCTTATCTTTATGACTATGAGGGCACGAATGGTACACAAACTTAACTCGATCACCAGCGACTTTATGAAAGAACCTCCGACATCGTTCAACTGTTTTGTGAATAAGAGTCAAATCGGAAGTTCTTAGATGAAAGGAGCTTTAGATTAGATGCTATGACAACTGCGAATGAGAACGTACATCACTTATCTTACGGGTACTGCTCAAAGACTAGACTTTAATGTAAACAACTGTGTTTCAGACCGGTAAACATTATTGTGTTGCCTGCACGCAACTTATAGTACTTCCACCTGAATTTCAAACTCCACTATGCCTACCAGCCTGTTACCGCAACTTTTATCCGGACTATAAGTTCTAAATTTGAGACTACCTTAAAACTACGCGTATCATTAACCTTTTACACTGACCTAGTTTGAAAGACAGACAGCCAACAAGTACTATAGAGGATTTCGCTGCTATGTTGTATCCGAGACTCAGACTCAAGATTACAGTGGGTACTTAAAGTCGTCCCACTTTTGTCAAGCGCCTTATTCAATGAGCCTAAAGTGTTGATCCCGTCGTTGCTGATGTCACCATTGCATTGAGGGTCAGGGACCAGATATCGATTAGAACCTTATTAACAGTCGTTTGAAAACAAGATAAAATCGCGTGCAATTCAGTGAGACGTTTTACTCATTAGTTTTGGGTATCTATGATCTCATTTGCATTCTTGACGTTCATTTGATACTTTGGCAGTGGGTACCCCAGCGTAAGTCTTTGAAACAAAACTTTCTATGAAATTCATAGCTTACGACACATTGTGACTTAATTTCACTGTGGAATTGCAAAGAGGTTATAAATCTGGCAGACGCCAGAAACTGCTCCACCTAATCAGCAGTTGAAACCCTAGTATCAGTGGAACAAATACTAGGATGACAGTACGCCCACAATTTTCATGAACGATTAGAACAGACAGAGTACTTTGGCAGTTCCATTCCACCTTCGTTACAGAGACTTGGATTATTATGCTGCACCTCTGGACTGACAAACAACCCTTCATCACCCTGAAATGACGTAATTGCTCTGTTCATTTCCTAAAAACGTCTACACAATATATGAACGTCTGGTTAGACATATGTTAACAGTTACATTTTACGGAACTATTTTTGGTATACGAAATGGAAAGTACATCACCGTGATCTAAACTATCCAGTCCCATGCTTATAAAACTTAACCTTGAATAAAGGATGTTTAGCAACCATTTGTAGTCAGTTTTCGAAAGACTTCGCAGTGAATACGTGAAGTTGAGATCAACAGAGATAATAACCCTCTATCTTCTGAAAAATAGTAACTAGAGTACGACCTACGTATTCCAATAATTATTACGGTACTAAGATTTGTTGAGAAAGCGGGAGAAGAAACACTTCATGATATGCTGGCATGTGATGAAAAGTAGGTTAAGTGAGTTAGTGTATGTTGGTTTACCGCGATATCACAGATAGGATCCCAAGGATAATGCGATTCAATTACATTGATTAGAAGTAATTGGCGATATTATTAATTTTCCACCAACTATTTCATAACTTAATGCAACGCACACACCATAAGTGAACAAAATCTATCTTGGTTATAAACTATTTCAGTACGTGATTTTTATGGCATATTCCCTAGCTTTTTATCGTAATCAACAATTCTAATGTTTCCAATAAACAATGAAATTAAATAGCACTTATGAGAAGTTAATGATCTGTGGAATCAAATAATGTCATATGAAATGTTCTAGACTGCTAAGGCAAATGACCTTATACCATGTTATGAAAATTAAACAAACGCAAACCTAATAAAATTTGCAGGAACTATGAAAACAACTAAAGCCAGTGACACATTTTACTTCATTTCAGCGCAAATACACCTAATTCGAAAAGTTAGAATATCCCTAACACTGATAATCGACTAGGTGAAGATTATTAATGAGAAAATGCAAAGGATAAACACCTTGAGGATTTTAACGTGCTTATGAAGCTTACTGGTGGTGGATCAGTGGATTATCTAACTTTTAAACATGATTAGAAAGCAAAATCATGTAATTAATTTACACCATGAGGTTACATGATTTTCAGTTTGTGAAATAACTGGTGCAGTTTAATAATATCTGGAATTGTTTGGCTTAGAATACATTGAAATGAATGTGTGGCGCGGATTTTACAATACCCAAAAACAAAAATATTAACGAATTAAGAGGATGTCTGTAAATATTTCGGTATGAACTAGCTTGGTCACATTGGGTACGATTTGACCCATAGATGAGAAAAAAGACTAGGACTTATTTTAAGGGATTGATATATTGAGTCAAATTCGAGTTTTAAATCTCAAAAAATAACTAAGTTATATACAAAAATTTTAAAATGCAATTAGTTGTTTTACATAAAATATTTACAAGTCCTAAAATATAAAATAATTAAAAATTCTTACCTGTTAGTTACTTCCGGTGATCGAAACGCAAGACCAAGGGTCGGCCGGCTACACGATATCCATTTAGCCCCCTGAGCGCCCTATCAGCTTCATAACTTGTTTTGAATTCCACTAACGCCTCACCGACAAACTGTCCTTGAGGGTCACGTCGTAATCTTATTGAACCCGGAACGAAATAATAATCCCGCATTATTGCAGCCAGTTGGTCAACAGTACATGTAGGCGGGAGATTTCCAACAAAAACAGAAACAAAGTCAGGAACTGAGCGACGATGTGGGAGAGGAACAGGCTGTCTTTGAAGAGATGAAATATCTGATTGGTGTGGTGGGATGGAATGTAAATTATCCACAGGCGGGCGGAACCTACGGAAGGAGTCATGATGATCATCAAAAGGGGCAGGTACAGAGGGACGATCGTAGTAAGAGTCGTCGTACTTGGCTCTACCTACACTTGGAGGACGGCTCTCAAATAGATTCGGTGATGGACGCTGGCGCTGGTCCCACTGGGTGCGGTGTTCCCGTGGGTCTCTGTCACGAGATCTTCCAGGTCTGTCAAAATTAAGTTGCTCATCTCCTTTGGAATTGACACCCAAACGGCTCAGCATTTCTTCTCGAGTAATAGCCTCTATATGAAGAGATGGGTGTGATTGTTTTGCCTTAGAGCCTTCAGTCGATACTTCATTCACAGCACGACGACAGTTGTTTTCACTGATAAAATCAATGAAAGCAATATTAGCGTCAGGATCCATTCGTACCGCATCTCCAGGAATTAGGATGGACGGAAACAGATTCAGAACTTCAGAATCTTTTACTGTGCGAGAAAAACCGCTAACACGGGCACACGTCAGAAAACCAGCAGGTTGTTTAGTAGGCTCCGGATCAACATCACGCGGAGTAGATGGCTTGATAGACTCTTTAATGCTTTCAGGCCTATCACCAATCGCCAAGGCTGAGTAAGCAGTGACTTGCAACTTTGATATTGGTGTCAAACGCACTGACGGAAGTCCCACATCCGGCCGAAATGGCCGTGGCTTGGCAGAGAGAAGGATTTTGATATCTTCCGCAGATGGGAGTGTAACAAGTGCTCTAGTTAAGTTGCCACTGCGTGGTACAGACTTATCATTTGGAGGGAACCGAGCCAGTACAACATTCTCACAAGTTAGACCGGGAGCACCCAAAAATCGGACTACCTCTGCCTTGGTGGTGTCAGGTGGCAGCTCAGCAAGCTCAAGACAACCATCATTGTAATGAGGAGGGTATGACTGGTCAGCTAGAGGAAGCTTCTTAGCAACTTCTGGGGGGCATTTTAAAGTAAAGTTTGTATCACTAACACTGTAAAATTCATTCAGAGTAGACTTGATTACTTTTATCACGTCGCCTTTGTGGGGTCGATTATTGAAGTTGAGTGCTCGGTCGTATGAATCACGTGTTGTCATCATAATAAACACATACCCAGTAGCACGCTGTAGCAAATCCTCTTCAACTCGGATACCCCACTTTGGAACAACTTGAACCCCACGTAAAACTTCAAAGACAGTCTTTATTCCAGCTTCTGGTGCAGGTAAACAAACTCGAAGTATGAAATCAGTTTCTCCAGGCACTACATCAGATGGGCGAGCAAATGATGGTGGTGGTCGACGTTTGCGTGGGTACTCTTCAAAGTCTGTGTTCTGAGTTTGGAATGGACGCTTTGGTCCTGCGGCCGATGCATCATCACTGAGCCACGGAGGTCTAACAGAAAAGTCACGTTCCTCTTGCAACCTAGAATTAGTGCACGTAGAGTCACGATCAAGTGGATGAGCCGGACCACTTCTGAATTCTGATGAATACTGGTGATTATTTCCACGACCGAATTCACGTAACTGAATATCATGTGGAGGGAACCGGTCGTTAAATACTTTAGGCGAATGTGCACGGTATTTATCATAATCCGTCCCCATACCATCTGAAACGTGGAGCGCAGAATAATGACTATTTTTGATTTCAGCGTCTTTACTTCTCGAGATGAAACTTTCTTCGGGAGACCTATGCGACAAGTCACTACGGTTAGTCAAGTATCCGCTTCCTAAACCGTAGTCATTAGCTGGTGGGAAATCCCGCATATCATCATATCTCGGAGGCATGTTAGGTTGGTTATTGTAACTATAATCTCGATCCTGATTAAAATGTGGTCTGTCTGAAGATAAATTCTCGGGGTATTTATCCGGGATGTTACGCGCAGTCGACTCAATTTGAATACGAGGTAGATCCAGGTTTACACCTTTGTTATAAGTGTAAGGAAACTGCTTGGAAGAGTCATCAAATGATTCACGAGTTGCGCCGTTGCGGTATGATGGGAAGGAACTGGGTAAGGTAGGAGCTGTTACATCTAGTGCATGCATGGTTTCATTCTTTTGGGAGATAGGTTGAGATAACACAGGATTTCTCCCACCGGAAAACAAAGCTGAAGTTTTGGCAGATTCAATTATTGACTGCATTTCGGCTTTGCTGCTCAGAAACAAGCGAACAGGTGCTCCATTTATCGTTTGCCGGTCAAGCAGCATAGCTTTCCTTGCGTCTTCATCTGTAGCAAAAGCAATAAATGCATCACCTTCCGTGCCCCCGACGATATGCACCCCCCCTTCAGGAATGGACAACCCGCTGAAAAACCGTCGAATATTCGAGGCGTTTGCTGAAATTGGTAAATTTTGTAGTCGAATGATAACAGACATTCTTCGTTCTGTAACAAGAGTGAGCCAGAATATATCATTAAAACGCGTGCTTTTCCAGAACAAAAAGCTTAGATAACACAGGATAAATGCCTAATATGACTACATTTACAACTCAACACGGAAAATGTGTAATTAAAAAAGCAGATGTTTGGATATACCTCTAATATATGGTTTTGTTTAGTCTCTAAGACAAAACACGATTTAGAAACAACTTTCTCATCCGAGTAATATTTGGTTGGTTGCTGTCAATTCCGACAAACTTTTGGATTATCATACACTGAATAACGCATGAACAAATGTACGGCTACGAAAGAATTTATTTAGAGAAGGGGACAACCATGTCTTCATTTAAGCCAGATTTCGTGGTGGCTGATAATCTTGAACAGGAACAGTTGAGTGGCCATGAAGAGTGTAGGACTACAGTGTAGTTACTGTCGACAAAGCAAGCGAGTTCAATCACACGTCGGCTCAGAAGCCACTCACTAGTTCTCCAAAACCCACCGTTTTGTGACACTCGGATGAATGCATCACTTACACAGGGACTTTACGCAAATCGTATTCAGTTATTCCAGAGTCCGTGACGGATTGCCAGTCGAAAATATTCCGGCGAATCACATACAAAACCCAAACGGAGTTGTAAGACATTTTACTTTAAGGTTAACACCTAATCCAGAGACGTATCACGACTACAACCGATCCACGAAAATTAGCGTGTAAAAAACAAGATAACCCTCGTAAACAGGACCTTCTACAGGCTATGTCAAGTTGATTGGTACCACGTAAATACTTACGGTTGTGTAGTTAAAGAGAAGTGACAAGATATGGAGAATCTGGAGAGGTGGTGTAATGGTTAACGACTTACAACTACATTACGGCAGCTAGGTATGACCACTAGTTCATAAGGACCGATAAGAAGTACATAAAGTAAGCATTACTTGACGGGTTAAATTAGCTCCGACGTAAACCTTAATAAAACTCAGTAGATGTACAAGGATTAGATATGAGTAGTATTTGGAGGCTTGTGATACTAACTAATGCTAAACTTTATGATCAAACGAATACAAGTGTGAACACGTAGCCCTGACGACATAAAGCAACCAGCCAGTCTTACAGGTAATGAAAGTGTCTGGATAATTCAAGGAATGAATTAAAGCTCGACTAATTGTTGAGCCAACAAGATCGTAGAAAAATATTGTTAGGTCTATAAATTGACTACTGAAACTCTGGTTTAGTGAAATCAACTACAACAGGATTCGATCTCCCAACTAGAAACAAACTGTACTAACTGAATGAAAAATGTGAACCTATCACTGAAAATAAGGTTAATATATTGATCAAGTCTCTGGTAACTGACTAACCTACATTTTACGAAAGATAATCATAATGGGCCAGCTACCATATGTAAGTGAGCATGCAGGCGATCGGAGCAATCTAAGCCTGCTTCAACCAGCAACTGTAATTATATTCTATAGCAGTGTTTACTTGTACAGATGTAGTGGAGACTAGGGCTTTCAATGGGAAGCAATGCACTGAGGATTATGCAGCATACACTTAGAGGAACATTAAAATTTTTCTAGTCTTAGTAGGACCAATATGATGAAACCTTATCTGAATAGGATCGAGTTTAATAGCACAATCCGCATTGTTCAGAAATACGAGAACCAACTGGTACTTTAACCGAAGCCACTTCCATGTATCTGTAACAACTGAGATACATTAGTAAATTTCCAATTCCATTACAGACGAAAGTGAGTCTAACAGATTAAGATCCATAGTTGATTAATTCAGAATATCTTTACGCACCAAGTGCCCTAGATAATGAAAAATCAACGAGACTGAAAGAACCATATTATAAAACCACAAGACATGGCAAAGTATATCGCTAACCAGTGATACTTTCATTAGAAGTGATAACATTATGATTACCTGCAGGAAAAATAAGTTTTACCCTCTATATTGAGGAATCTGAAAAACAATTTACTTACAGCGATAAACGATATTTCAGACTAATAGGAATAAATAAAGAAACTCACGTAAAGAAACGTCCACAAGTCGAGACCAAAATGGACGTCACGGGCACAGATAAACAACTATCCAAAATACAATGTCTTAATCAGGAGCTGGTATAAACAAATTGATTCCTTTGCTCTCGATTCTTGTTATTTCGGTACGGTTTCATATTTTGGTTTTATTCAATGAATAGGGGCCTAGCCGCTCGACTGTCTAATTCTGATCAGTTGGCAGTTGGTTGAGAGTTTGTATGTCTCGGGATTTGGATGAAAACGTTTGTTTCAGGGTAGTAGGGTTTCTGGATACCAGAAGCTATCACATTACCAGACCTGAGATCAGTTAGTTGCAATGTGGGGAGTAATAAAAGTAATAAGGATAAAATTCTAATGCTAATATGAATAAAATTTCAGAACTAAGTAATATATGGATGATTTAGTTTATTAATTAGTAGTGAATATTGTGAGAGAGGACCGAAGTGTGAGCAAGGGAGAGACAAACAGAGATGATAGACGAGATGGACTGAGTAAGTGATCTGAGGAGATGGCAATGATAATAACTAGCAGGTCTCAAGATATGCATCATGTCCAAGAGAGAGATGATAATCCGCTAGCGAATACGTGATTATCAAGTATCTTCTTAAAGCACTCTACTGAGGGGGCTATGGTCACCTCGGCTAGGAGAGCATTCCAAGTTGTGACGACTCGCAATGGAGAAAAGTGTGCACGAATCTGGGTATTCGCTCTTTGATGTGCAATCTTTAGAGGATTCCATTGAGAGGAGCGGTGGTGTTGCATCGGTTAGATGCTCACGTTGGGATGGATTGACGTGCTTTATATGTTGTACCCCATAGTCAGATCACCTCTGATTCTCCTGTAGCTTAGTGGGAATATTCCCAAGTGCTAGAGTCTATCATCGTAAGTTTTATTTTGTAACCCTATCTCACCCATTTGGTTGCTCGTCTCTGCGCTAGATGAAAGAGCTATATGTCTCTTTTAAGCAGACGGGGTTTGATGACATTGTGAACCTCCAGGTGTGGACGAGCGTATACCTTACATAATGTTAAGAAAAATTCTGGGGTGATAGCACCAAGTTGTCTTCCCATAAAGTGAACAGTCGCATTTGCATTGGCTACGACTACTATGTAGTTCGGACTCATGTGAAGCTTTCTGTGGTTACTAAACCGAGATCGCCCTCTGAGGAGACATTAAGGAGCAGACTTCCATCGAGAGTGTAAATCGTTTGCGTCATGTGGGGCAGAATATACATGACATGGCACTTCGGTTGGTTGAGTTTTAAACTGCTTTTCTCAGCTCATTCCTCAATAGCTGTAAGGTCCTTTTGAAGCTCAGCCGAATCCTCTTCGCTTCTAATGGACCTCCAGATATTCGCATCGTCTGCGCAGATCAATGCCGGTTAATTAATTCAGCCTCTTCTGCCTCCAGTTTGGTGCACCCTATCCCTTCGGAAGAGTGTCATGCCTGTCAAGCTCACTTCGTCTGCAATGTCAGGGACAGCCATGTTTCAGTTAGGATTATGATCTTCAGATCCATCTGAGAGCACATGTTCCTGATTTCTAACAGCTTACCCCTTAGTCCTCTTACGTTGCTATAGAGGCACTTAGTGGTTTGTCTCAGCACCTGGTGCACTTCTGCAGCAGCAGCCATTGTGGGATTTTATAACAAGTTATTCAAACGCAGTTGACAATTTCTGTGGGAACTGGCCTCTTCAGGTTTTTTGCTTGCGCGGTGGGTTAAATCACGTCTTGTGCCAGGGGTAGTTGACCGAGGTTAACTATCAGTTTTGTGCGTTCATTTTGGCCTCCCTGCTGTTGTCTCAAAGATCTAGGTCGGCTCTCGCAACATCTGATGTGGCTAGGCAGATCGTTCCTCGAATTGTACCAAGCTTGTAGTGTTTCGGTCAGGTCTTCCCGGTTACTAAACGTCACAGCCATCAGGCGTGGTGACTTGATAGACGTTAGGTGTGACGGGCGGGGCAACCTGGAAATGCAAATAGCCATCGCCACTGTTGCACATCGTGCACATAAGCTTCGTCCAGGTTACCGTCAGCGGGTTTGGGTACATCGTGAACTACCATGGTGGCCTGCTCTTGGGTGCCTGGCATAGTCCCGGCTGTCGCTCTTACCGACCACGGCTTGTCATGCCTGATGCGAATCAGCGAGGACAATTTGGGATAAAAAGAGGATGTCTTCAGCAAGTCGTGCTGAGTCAAGAGTTACCCTCATTGGAGGGGGTTTTCCTTTCGAGACATTTTGGCCTTTGAAAAGGCGGCATATTTTGTCTGGGACGTTGCACATTCCAAGGGTTGTGCAGTGTTTATCCCACTGCTCTTTTTCGAAGGCACCCCGAACCTTCTAGCAAGCTTCCTTCCGATACTGGGACATTAAATAAAATGAGTGCGTTTTTTCTGTCGTCCCTGTCCATGGGTGGTAGCCACTTGTTAGTTGGGTTGTTGTTATTCCCCTTCTTCACGTTTACCTACTGTTTTGTATTGCTAATAGATACTGGGAGGTTAACAACAACCGGCAGTATTGTCGGTGTGTTAGGCAGGATTTTGGTAGTCTTGGTCACTTGTTTTACTGGTTTAGTGCCAGGCGATTTCGGTTTGGTCGTTTGGACTTTAGGGCTGATTTTGGGTGGGACCCGTGGCGCTGCTAATGCCTCAGATACTCTACACAGAGGGCAAATATACCAGAACCATGGTCTAGGGTGACTCAAGATGAATCCGTAGTACTCTTTAGGTACTGTAGTGTCGCAGTGACAATGTACCCATGTACTACAGAAGTTGCATTCAAAAACACAGTCACTGATTTTGACTGGTAATGAGCTAGCAAAACAGTCATCCTTATGCGGTTTCTGGACGTCAGACTGTGTCGACTGAGCCTTGGAACGTCTTTTTCCCTTATTCTTAACTAGTTTAATGGTCTTTTTAGAAATAGGAGTGGTGTCTTGCTTCCTCTGTGATGTTTGCGTCGAGTGACTTATAGTATGGACACTGGGAGGCATACTATTGACTTACTGTTTGGGTTTTTTAACAACCCGTTCGCACGAGATTGGGATTTTCGACGCACCATTAACCCCGGGGTTTATGCCTCCACAGATTTTCCTGGTTGTTATCGTGTAAGATGTACTAGCGACCTTATTACCTAATACGACACAAAGGAGATTGAGGTGAAAACCGTGCCGAAGCAACTAGAAAAAGAGCCGTTGATTGAGGCAGCTAGACCTACCGCACAATGGTTCTGACTTGGAATGGTTCCGTTTGCCCTAAATTGTTTTCAGATTGTCGACCAATGAATGGAGACAACTTTTTATAGCTTCGGGGGTGATAAAGTGTCCCGAAAATAGATTGTTTCCCGTAAATGGAAGAAAGTCAGCGTGCTTAATACAAAAAGTTTGGGTGAAATATGAGATGAATTGGGGTACTTGATACCAAAATGATTGATAATTCGGGCGACTTTGGAGAGGATAGAAACTTTTGCTTAACTGGTTTTGGTGTCTGAATACAATATCCAGTGTCTTTTCCACGAGCTAGTTTGAACAAATTGATTTCTTTGTTCTCGACTCTTATTCTCTCGGTCTGGTTTCAGGTATTTGTTAGTCTCCGATGGATAGTAGTCTAGCTACTCAATTGCATTAATTCTAATCAGTTGAAATTTGTTCTTGACTTTGTGTGTTCCCTTTGTTTCAGGGCAGGAGGCTTTGTGAATACCTGTAGCTATCATGGTACCAGGCCGTGGATCATATAGTTGCAGTGTGAAGGATAATAAGGAGAAAATTCTAATGAGATTTTAGAACTAAATAAGTGGTAATTAAGTTAATTAACTGGTACTGAAAATTGTGCGAGAGGACCGAAGTTTAAGAGAGAGAGGAAACAAAGATAATCATCAAGGTAGGTTAGAATAGTGACCTGAAAAGATGGCAATAATAACGAATAGAAAATCTATAGACATGCATCAGATATAGCTGGTTCACGAAGGAGATGTTAATCCGAATGTGAGTACGCACTTATCAAGCTGTCCACTGAGGGGCTGTTATCACCTCGACTGGGAGAGCATTCCAAGTTGCAACAACTCCTAGTGCGAAGAAGTGAGCGCAAACCTGGGTGTTGGCTACTTGATGCCCAATTTTTCGAGGAATAACTCGAGGGGCGTGGAGGTGATGCTTCAAAATTCTTGGTTAACCGACAAGCCTGCTGTACATGCACGCCTCTGCTTTTTGGGCAACACAAGGATTCTCACAAAAGCCAATTTGCGATCACCCCTGCCCCATACGGGAAAGCGCATGTTGAATCCATTGTTCTGCAGACAAGTGGACGTCGATAAAGCATGCATAGGAGCAGTGGCCCCCGTTAGGGCACTTATGAATCAACTCGATCCCTTCAACCAATCCACTACCCACAATCCTCAGTCGGCAAGGGCGACAAGGCGCGTTTTCCTAAATAGACCTGGTACCCCGAAACGGATTACTGATCCACCCAGCAGTGCACTAACCAGCAGCCGTTCCAACCGTTTGGACTTCAACTGCCTTGCGCTGATACAATCGACCGGAGTCCTCAAACTCCACATGCAGCTAAAGATCGAGTTTGTTATACAAGGTTAGTCGGAACGTACACCCTTCCATAGAGGTGATGCTTCTATAAGCTGCTCACATTACTTACTTACGCCTGTTACCCCTAGTGTAGCATAGGCCGCCGATCAGTATTCGCCAACCTACTATGTACGTGGATTCCCTTTCTAATTCTGTCAAATTATTGTTCATTCTTCCCATATCTTCCTCTATTTCTCGACGTAACGAGTTCCTTGGCCTTCCCCTTTTCTTTTCACCTTGTCTTGTGACTCATTTCGATGCTTTCCGCAGTGTGCATACTATCCACTTCCAGCACTTCTTCCTGATTTCCTCCTCTGCTGGGATCTGGTTTGTTCTTTCCCGCAGTAGATTGTTGCCGATGGTGTCTGGCCAACGGATCTGAAGGATTTTGCGTCGACAACTGTTAATGAATACTTGAATCTTCTGAATGTTGGCTCTCG